ATATATAACATATTTTTCTTTTAAGATGTGAATTGCTTTAAGTTCTAGGTAAATTTACTACCTTCTAGCTCCTAAGATGATTACTATGCGATAAGATCTAGCCAGTCAGTCAATTAATCAAGTATAAATACGTCATCTATATACATATATAATGAGTTTAGAATAATGCCAAAATTAATTTCTTTAAAATTTGCATAATATAAATCAATTAATAAGACAAGTTCAGGGTCAAATAAATGTAAGCTCAAACTAATTCAGTCCGTCAATGAAATGATTGACTCTTAGCTCACCTTAATCTAAAATACTTAAGCGAGAGCTAAGAGTATATAATATATTTGAATATATATATGTATATGCTCTCGTCTGATATCATCGGATAAACCAGGATTAACTTTGTTAATTAAGCCCAAACTAAAAGGCTAAAGCTACCTCCAAGACTTTTAAAATTACTTCACTATTCTACTATAAACAACTTCCTATTTTTGCCAGTGTATCATATCTGTATGATATCAGTATGTTTTACAGCTCTGATTCCCTAACAAAAGACAGCGAAACTCACTGACGCTTTTCACTCAACTCGACTCAGCTTAGCTGTTGTGATTTATTTGATGCTGGCTCCCGGCCTTATGTAAATATTTGATGACATTTGTACGGGCGTTGCGGCTTTGCACCCCTTTCTTTCTTGCCGTGTAGCTCATTGAAAATTCAATTTATTTTCGGGGCAAAGCGAAAAGAATGAGAGATGAAGAAGACGCAGCAGAATAGGAATTTTAGAAATTTGCATTACTTTTGGCATTGATTTGCCCCTTGGCCACACTAGCTGTGGGCGTGACGGGCAGTGGGCGTGATAGCAGCTGCTTCTATATCTTTTTTTTTTCGTTTTTTTGTTGCCGTCTTAGAACTTTTGTAAATCATGGCGCAATTGTCTTAATTCGAAAATTGCAGCTTCGCAGCTGTCGACAAATTGTGGCCATGCACGAGCACGCATCTGGCAATGATAATGTCGTATCTGTAGTTCAATTTGTGAATGTATCTGTATCTGGAGATGTACATATCTCGAACTGTATCTTCGCGATGATTCGGCTTGAGTGACAATTGCGACATCGTGTTTGCTTATCTGCGTGCACATCGCAGCAAACGTTTGCCTGGCTTACCGAGTGAAATATGACGGACGCTTGACGCTTGACCTTTGACCCTGAGCAGCGACCGCGCTGAGCTGTGCCGACCGGCCGGCTTGCGTGCCCCAGACCAATAACAGAAAAATTACCGCTGCATAACTCATTGAACGCATTGCGAAGCAACATTTTGTTGCTTTAATTTGGCTTTAAAATTTTATTATTATTAATGTTATTAGTTAATTGCATTTTATATACATACACATAAACAATATACATATATATATAAATTTAATACATAAACAATATGATATTATTTGAATAATTTAATTATGCGTTGCCTTTTGTCATGTGATTAAACCGCAAAGCGTCTGACTGAAATAGGTGTGCATTAAACCAGTTGGCGTTTACATTTGCCACACTGAATGATACAAAATAAAAATCCAACAGCAACAATAATTCAAATGACAACAAGAGCAACAACCACAGCTTAGACAGACTGGCAGCATCCGAGCTGAGATCACGTGCGGTTTGTTTGTCTCACAAGCTGCGGCTGTCACTCTTTACTTAAAATTTAGCACAAAACCCAATGTGAAAGCCATCTAGAAAAAAAATCGAATTGAAGCTACCTCGTATTCATTATGAACTCAAGATAATTAAACAAATATTTGTATACAAAATTAAGCAATAAAAAGACATTTTTAAAGGGTATATTCAAGTTCAGCATTCTAGCTTATTTGGCATCAGCTTTAGGCAAACAAAGTTTGATGTTTATATTTTAAATTTGTTGATAGAAATATCTATTAAAAATGTGCATAATCTAGTCAATTGGAAAACTAAATAAATAATAACAAAATAGGGTATCTTTGAGTCCAACACTTACACTTTACTCTATACTTTTTTTGTTTAATCAAGTCAGTTTCTTGACTAAAATTCTAGCTTAGAGCAAATTCAGTTCTATAAAAAATATTTTATAAAATACATATATACTTCTAACAAAGTTATGTAGGGCATCTTGCAGTCGTGCAATTCTAATCGCGTACATTGTATCTACAATATCTAGACTCAACACCTAGCTATGCATATTTTGGCCTTGTTTTTTTTTTTCAGTTTACACTGACAATTGACAGCTGCTTAAATGCGCTAAACAATTGAATTCACTGAATTAGATGAGCTTCATTTCACCTGAATTACAAATATATATATTAAATATAATATACACATATATAATGTGTATATAAAACAGGTAAATATAGTTTAATTTGATTTGCAATTCTATTGAAATTATCAACAAATCGTAGCACGTGGCTACCATGATTAGCATCTATTATTTATTATTATTTAGTAGCAATTGTAAACAGAGACAGAGACAGTGACAGGGAAAGAGACAGAGACAGATAGAGGGACATAGGCGTTTGCCTCTGTGTTTACAGAGAGCGACAGCTCAGCTAATTAGAAGACTAGACGATTTGTTGAAATGTTAATTATGCTTCATTTCGTTGTAAAAACTGTGTCAATTGTTGTAAAAACTAAAATGGATTTTCCCATGCCCGATAGCCAATACAAAATGTGATTGATATTAAATTGGATTTTCAGTGCAATTAAAATTGCATTTGCCAATTTGTCAAGTCAAATGTGAATTAAGTGAAAACATGAATGATTTATGTATTTTCCCAATACAGAACATATCTGGACTGGCATCAGTTTTTTAATAGAAACAGATTTGTGTCATGACTTCAGCTAAAGTTATATATAATGCATAAATAATACATTCACCATGTCATTCAGATTCAGTTTTTCAACTATTTTTACTTCTAACTATCCATTTGTTTGCTTAGCTTTGCTTGCCACGCTCTCCATTTTAATCGAGTCAGCTGATAGCAACACCAGAAGCTGATATAGATAGAGATCTTGCTTGAATTTGTATTCGGATAAGTCATATGTAAACAACAAAAAAATAGCCTAATTGCTTGTTATAGCAAATGTTTGTTAATAATAAAGAAAAGAAAAGTGAAGAAGCCGAAAAGAACGACTAGCCAATGCTCTTATTGAAGTTAAAATCAGTTTTTAATTGCATAAATGCTGAACAATTCAATAGGATAAATATTTTAAATAATAATAAAAAATATTTGAAAGGGTTAAAATATTTATTAAAAAATTTAATTTAACATTTTAGCATTGGCAATTGAAATTTGTATGGAAAAAATCGTATTCCATTGAGTGCGGAAGGCTTTGAAAAAAATTGTTATTTAACTGTTATAAAAATATATATTTTATTTATTTTCACAGCTGACTTCAATGCTCAATATTTTCCATAGTGCACTTAGCCAGCCGTGAGAGCATTGCAAAAAAGTCTCTTTAAATTGAACTTATCAAAGTTCTTCTAATCTTGAGCATTATCTATGGGCAAATAGTCTCCAGTGTTTTAGGCGTCACTGACAGAGCTTTTCTTATTATCAAATGGAGCCAAATAGTCTAAGTAAATAATTGAATTGTTGTCAGGCAAGAGGCAGTGTTTTTTTTTTTTCTATTATGGTGAGAAAAAACTATAGAGAACGTTAATCGAAGTGTCAAGAATGCCCGTTAAGAGGGATAGACAGCTGCTATTTGTCAGTTTGTTGTGAGCTATTATTTACGCTCTAACAGCTGCTGTTAAACGGGTTGCATAATGCGAATGCTAGATGTATTTAAATGTGAATTTACAATGCAATCACTCATATTTTATGGCATATACTATAATAAATATATACAACCATATATGCATTGCTACAGTCATTCAACTTTATGGACACTCAAAAAAAAAAAAATAAAATAAAAAAAAATCGAATACTAATCAATCAATAGATCTGTTTGTGGAATGAGTTAAACTAATCAATTTAACTACTTGAGTGGCTGTCATAATTCATACTAGAGATAGTAGAGTAGAAGCTGAAAACTTACCTCAGACCCAGAGGCGCGTCACGTCAGTATATCAATATCCGTTGAAAGAATTTACAATGTTATCTCCACACACAATAAATTTAATTGCACTTAATTATAAATTTATCAATTTGTGAATTATGTGAGCTACACAGCTAACACGACAGCGATTCAAGGCACAGATTCAGCACTCGATATGGAGTAGAGAGAGAAAGATATACCATACTATGTGCATGGGATATATATATAACACTGATTTATGCCTTATTTGGGCTTTAAATTAACACTTCCGCAACGCTCGAGCCGCCGGTTGATTCATGCTGCTCACTTGAAAGATCACGACAAATGTGGACTAGCCGCAGCTTAAGTGCCATCAATTTGGCCAGCAAATTTTTTTTTTTGTATCTCTCCTTGTTGCTGCCAGGCGCCACACACAAACCGAACCGCACGATCGAGCTGCACAAGCCCAACTGAATGAAACTGAACTGTTCGACTGATAAGACCTCGCACTCGATCTAAACACACACAAACGCAAGTGACTGAGAGAAAGAGTGTGAGAAAGAGAGAGAGAAATGTCAGTGTGTGTGAGTCGATAAAACTAAGGTATCGCATGCGATAAGTGTGGGAGTTGCATGCGATATGAGCTGGAGTTGGATGAAAATGCATTTCGATCTCACTTTGGCTAATGTTTAAGGGTTTTTATAGGAGGTAGTACTACATAAAAATTAATTCTACATAATATAGCTATCTGGGAACTTTGACTACTCTATTTTTGGAAAAAAAAAAAAATAATAATAATAAATAAATAAATATAAAAAACTTTAGTCGTTCGTTCAATTTAATTCTACATCTCTACCATGCCTTGCTTCTAACTAAATCAAAAACTAAGTAACATATTAAATTTATTGATTCAAACAAATAAAAATATATCGTATATACGTCTATATTACGAATATCAAAGGCACAAGGCTATTGAGATGTACAGTCAAATTTAATTTAATCACAGACCCGGTTGCTTGCTTTCAACACCCAAAACGTATTTGAAGTATGCCGCGTTCAGCTGCTCGAGGAAGACGAAGGCAAACACCGTGTGCGGGCCCAGACGGCAGAGGTAGGGCGTGAAGCCCTTCCACAGCGAGAATACGCCCTCGTTGCGTATCACACTCATGATGACGTCCAGGGTGCCCTTGTACTCGCGTTTGCCATCCTTGATCTTCATGTTCTGTATGCGCGTCTTGGCCATGTCCATGGGCATCGAGGCAATGGTGGTCAACAGGCCGGAGCACATGCTGGACGCAATGTGCAGGCCAAGGCCCTCATTCAAGTAGCTCTTGAAGAGGAGCTTGAACTGTGAATACGATGCCAGCTGCACCATATTCACGATCATCGCTCGCGCCACTGTCGGTGCACAGCCACGCCACAGGGCGAAGACGCCCTCCTCGCGTATTATCCGCAGAACTGCATCGCCGACATTCTTGTATTTACGCCGCTGATCCTCGGGCAGTCGATTGTCGGCCATCATGCGGATGAGCGAGACCTCGGCCGGATTGCCGACAACAGCGCCGCAAGCGCCCGCAACGACGCCCATGGCCATGCTGGAGAGCACATTGGGCGGCTTTTGGTACGTATTCTGATAGTACTCCACCTCCATTTGATAGACACCCATGCGGGTCGTCGTGTACGTCGCCTGCCGCAACAGTCCGGCGCTGATGCCATTGTAGAATGCCAGAAAGCCCTCGGACTGGAACACCTTGGCAATGCAGTCGAAGGAGCTTTTGTACTCCTTCTTTCCCGATGCGCCGGCCACTTGCATTCGCGTCTTAACCAGATCCAGCGGCTGGACTATAACCGAGGCCATCATGCCAGCGGTGCCTCCGAGCACATATTTCATATAATTTGGTATAGTTTTACCGTCTACGGTGTGCACGCCCATGATCGGAGATCATGTAGGTTAAACAATTGGGAATTTCGATCAGATTTTTCAATAAGTTTGCTATCTCTGTGTATGTGTGCTATGAGTGTTAAAACTTTACTCGAGAAACAATTCGAAATTATTTGAAGTCTGCTGGTAAAATTGGCCAGTAATTGACTCGACTATGGAGAACTAGAGGCAGCTATGGATGGGATAGGTGGATAGGAATAGTTGAGCTGAGCTTTATATATTATATAAACAATTATAATTGGGTGGAATATAGAAGGAGAGAGAGACCTAGAGAAGAAGACCTAGAGCGAAAGAGAGAGAGAGAGAGAGAGATTGATAGATAGGGGCAGAGTGAGAGAGAGAGAGAGAGAAAGGGAGATTGATACTTATAGATAGAGGCAGAGAGCGTGAGAGAGATAGAGATTCTGATACGGAGACGTATGTCTGTTAGAGAGTGACAGAGAGAGAATCAGAAATTCAGAGCGAAAGGTAAGAAGAAGAAGATAATGATGATAAAGAAGAAGAAGAAAAAGATAGGAGAACACTCGAAGTAGATACAGAGATGAATTTAATCTTCGTCCTATCTTTAATAGTTGCCAAAACAATTAGGCAATCCAAGAGATATTCTCTTTAGGTCAGTTGACTGTTTCGCCTGTCATATTTAGGTCCGTGCAGCATTGAATTTAATTGTGGCAGTTAACGCTGCGGCAACACCAACACACAACAGATCAATTATCGTGGCCATATAATTTTCCGCACATGTTGGTTAATTATTGAACTTTGGCTGCCACGCCGCCCCCCTCGAACGTCCTACGCGCCCACACACACACTCCACAAATTAACAAGGCGCAGTCGACTGGGCTCATTATCGGAGTTTTTGCATTAGATGAAAAGCGTTCGCATTTGCAATTAGACGAAGGTACAAGCCACAATAGCATTTTAAGCAAAAACTGGAGCAAGGTGGCTGGGCCCCGGGGGGCGTGGCAAGTAATTAGACATCGCCAAAAAAAAAAAAACAAAAACACAAATTTGTGATGTCAGCAGTAGAGGGAGAATATGTACTTGCCAAATAGCATATTGGCAACTCATTGCGGGCTAATTAAGAACTCATGCGGCAGCAGAGCAACACGCAACGAAAGCCAACAACCAAGACTCGGCCAATAACAACTTGCAACGTTGTTGATTTTCGCATGGATCAAACAAAAATCGCACGCAGCAGTGGAAAATGTCGACTAATTAGTGGTAAATGGTGTGTGTATCAGCTAAGCGCTGCCAAAATCAATTGCATACTTCCATTCAGCGCAAAAAACAAATCCAATTATGCAAGTGAGTGGGAGCGAGAGAGAGAGAATGACGGGTTGCAGTTGATGGCAATTATGTTAAGTGGTTTGCGTCTCAGCTAAGGAATAGCAAATATGTGTTGCCTACTTTCAGGCAGGAAATAAATTGGATGTTCATATAAATAAAAGGGGGAATAGAAAATCTGAATTCAACTGAGTAAAAAGCAAATTGATCTTATGACAATTAAATCTTATAAAATGAAAGGCTGGGTAGCCTGGGTGCCGTCTAATCACAATTCAAATTCATTGCGTACTTCTGAGCTCCATTTAATAACTTATCAGATCGGAGGAAATCAGGCAGTCGAGTAAAAGTGGGCCAGCAACAGCAACTGTAACAACTGCCAATTGTGAAAATTTTAAATAAATATTTGAGCAAATGACAACGAGCCGGCTTCAACTACTTGCGTCTATAAATCAGATCATATCGGCAGCTGGCTTTTGCGGTCAGCAGGCGAAGCGCCGAGACGGCAGCCCTACAAGCGTGGCCAGGAAAAATGCAACGTGAAAAATTTATAAAAGAAGAAAAAAGCAAAGGCACAACAACAGCGAATGTTGACAACAAGATCTGTGTGATAAGCAAGGAAGATACAGAGAGAGAGAGAGAGAGAGAGCGAGAGAGAGGGATGTAATCGTAGCAGCAGAAGCGCAGGAAAACCGCAGAGCTCTGCTAAAGCTGTAGCTGAAAAGCAAAATGACAATAACAGCTGCAATTCAAAAGTGTGTGAGAGAGAGAGAGAGGGTAAGCGCAAGAGGGGGACAGCGTGTGAGCGACAAAAAGCGACTGCGAAAAGTACAAACGAAAAAAGCGAAGCATTAAGTGGCGAACCGTTAAGAAGTCATTGGGTAGACTAAAACCTGAAAACAGCAATAAAACGACGACAGCGTCACGAAAAACTTAATGCGGCAATTGCCGAAGTAAACAGAGCAAACTATGAGAGAGTAAGCAACAACAAGAAGAAGAAGGTAGCGTAGAAGAAGAGTTGTCAGAGAGTGAGAGCAGCGCTCAGTTAGAGAGTAAAAGTATACAGCGAGAGCGCAGCGAAAGCTAAGTGCACAGCACAGGTCATCGAAATAGAAACATGTTAAAGAAACAAACAAAATTGGAGAAAAATGAAGTTCTACAAAAATTATTAAGATTTTGTAGGTTAATTTGCAATTTAGCTACTTGTATTAGTATTACAGAAATATTTCTATGTTAGCCTTAGCTTCATCACAGCTTTGTTTGATCAACTGTAAATGATAAATTCCATATATATGCATATGTATTGAAATTTATTCAGCTACTGTCATCACATATAAATAATACAATAATACACAAAGCCAACGATAGAACAACAACAAACGCTGTTAAATGTGTGTCAATCCATTCCGGTTTTCCGTTTTGTCTGGCTTCACTGTAAAGGCCGCTGATGCTGCCCAAAAAAAGAAGATGAAGAGAAAAAAAAATAACAGGCACGAAAAAAACTACCTAAAACGCACAATGCAATAAACAGTTATTGTTAAACAATAAATCAAATGCTGAGCGAGAAAAAAAATTCTAAACGAAAGACTCTAGTCACAAACCTGAGATCATTGACGTGCGCTCTCTGCGAAGCTCTCTCGCTCTTTGGCGCTCTTTCGAGCTGCGACACTTTCGAACTCGTTTTCGAACAACTAAGCTGGCGCTCAGCTGCAGCCGAAAACTTTGGCCATTCGTCAGTGAACTGTCCGCGCTTAACGGTCTGATCGCGGGCATCTCTCGTTTTACAACTCGCTGCGTAGCGTCTTCTTCTTCGCCGAAGAACGAACGTTTTACAAGCAACAACAAAGCAAGAAATGAAAAGAGAAGAAAAAGCAATATATAGAAAGAAAATTTAAAGCGTCGCCTCTTTGCATTTTTTTGTTTATCAACGCGTGTGTGCGTGTGGCGCTGTGCCTGTGTGCGTGTTACCATTTGCATTTTCGGGCTTTCGTCTTGTTTTCGCCTCCAATTGACGTCGCGTCTGCTTTGCACTGCGCGTGCAGTTCCGTTCCGATCCGATCAGTTCGGTTCGCCTTCAAAAATTATTATTACCAATTGTTGTTGTTGTTCTCGCGCGTGCTAAGAAAGGCAATAAAAAAGTGCAGCAAAATTTCACTTAAAAAGTGCTCGAAAAAAGTGTTCAAAAAAAATTGAAAGAAAAAAAACGGCACAAGTTCTGTTTGCCAAGTTATTAACATTGTGTTCATAATTCCACTGTCTGCACAAAATACAAATAAATATTTACAGAATACAAGCTCAAATAGAAAGCAACCAATTTTCACAGCTAACACAGCAACAACAACAACAACAACAACAACAGCAGCAGCAGCCAGAGCAACAATAGCAACAGTATTCAGCATCAACTAGCGGAATAATACATGAAACTTAAATAAAAGAGGTATGTAAATGCCAACAGAGAGAGATGAATTTATGTTTATGCATAGCAACTAGAGCTGCAACTACAGGAAATACTACAGTAAAATAGAAAAAAAAAATAAATAAATAAAAACAAAAGAATTCTTGTGCATATTCGTTCGTAAAGCTTATATTTTAAGGAAAGGTTTAGGAAAATGCGAAATGTGGATAATAAAGTAGTCTTTTCATAAAATATATTAAAAATAATTTTATATAAATTTTAATATGGTCCCAAATTTTAATACTCTCTTATTTTTGATTTTAAATTTTATATTGCTTAGAAAAAAATGTTGTTATATATATTTAATTCAACTTTTATTGTTAAGTTGTCTTATAATTTATAATATGTATTTTTTGATAATTTAAAATTTTTTTTTTAATTTTTTATATACATATAAATTTTTTTTTTTTTTTTTTTTTGTTTTTAAAGAAAAATTCGAGTTTAAATATCTTTTACATATCAAAAGAATTGTCAACTGCAATGCTTGGCTGCTCCACTTAGCGTGCGTTAACTGTAGCTCAACTGGATATAACAGTTCGATTATTTAATTGACACGCGGCGCTACAGGAAGAACGAGTAGAAGAACCAGCCATAGCTGTAACTGCAGCTTAACTCTTTTCAAATTGTCAATACTGAAGTCGAGATCTCTATTTTCTCTCGCATTTTCTCTCCATTGCCCAGTCTAATATATTCCATTAATACATTTCTTTTTCGTTTTTTTTTGGAAGACGATTTGATTTGCATATCGCATTCATTCAGTCAGAGCATCATAATTTTCCCAAAATGAATACCCAGTTGGAGTTTCGTTTGATTGTCAGTTTGGTTTGCTTGAATCGATTTTCATATTGTGGTCTCTTGCAACCGACAAAAAATACAACAGCAACAACTACAACAACACTTGTTGCTGCACGATTGAACTTTAAGCCGCATTCTTTGCTGTCTGCGGGCCGCCTCGATTGGTCGCCGTTGGTTCAAGCTGAAGCTGGCCAATTTTTGTTTTTATTTTTTAGTTTTTTACTAAGCAGAGGCTGCGACTCATTCTTCGTGGGAACTCTTTGCACTAGTCTGTCTGGCATTTGGCTGTGCGGCACACATTTTTTTTGCTTTGCTTTTTAGTTTTTCTGCTTTGGGTTGGTTAGTTAGTTTAGACTAGACGAAACTGGCTTTTAGAACAGGAATTTCCACTCCTACAACAAAACAGAGAGTGCTACTTATTGACATTTGGCGCATGCTCCAGTAGAGAGTATTGTTGCATGGCAGTGGAAATGGGATTTTAATGAAATTACTAGACAATGCGGGAAAGTGAATAGGGTAAGGGTAGGTTAAGGTATAAATTTCTTAAAGACAAGAGGAAATTTAAGGGTCTTTGAAGGTATTATTAAAGCATTTATTAATTTCTTGACAGATTTTTTTTAAAGATGCCTATTATTATTCCCTTCCCATTTTGCAATTGTAAAAAATATTGTTTTTCCATTTGTAACTCAAAATTCTTTGATTTTTAATCGTCAACAATTAAGTACAAAATATTAGAACTAGAACTTAAAGCAGAACTTAATTACGAAACTCACTTAAACATAAAATATGAAGAATTTGAAATGAATTTGTTAGACAAAGATTTCGGGCCCAAAGATCACGACCTTTTTGGTGTGTGAGCTGCGCGGCTTTGGTGGGGTAGTGGGAGCCTTCACAGGCGATGTGGCAGAGGCGGAACTGCTGCTCAAGCTGGAACTGGAACTGGAACCGGAAGTGGAAGTGGAAGTGGATTTGGTACTGCTGTTCTTTTTGCGTCGCATGCTGCGCAGCTCGTTCCGCAGCTGCTCCTTGTAGACGAGCTCCCGCTTGCAGGCCTGCAGCTCCTCGACGCTGCAGTGCTTCAGCTGTCGTATCGTACGTGAGACGAGGCCGTCGATAATGTGTATCTTGCAGCGGGAGAGCCGCGTCGGTTCCGCATGCCGGCGCGTCAATTCGCTCTGATACTGAAAGAGCAAGTAGCCAACGCTGGGACGAGCACCGCGACGATGATTGTGGCTGTGATTCTTTTGGCTTTCCATAATTGCGAGCTGCTCGTCAACTGTCGGGACTGTTGCTGTCGCTGCTAGGCAGGCTGAGCTGTGAATGATGTCCTTTGGTACTTTACCAGGATTATTTATATGTGTAGCGGTGATTTCGTTACCTGTTGACCTGTTCGCGTAATTACCTGTGATTCGTGCAAACTGAACAAAAATAAATTCTGTGGCTTTCGTCTTGTTGTTAGCCTGGGCAAAACCCAATTTTTCGTCTCTTACAAATCTTGTTAAATGTTTCGACAGCAATCGCAAAGCTGGTGTTTGTGCGTGTGTGTGTGCCGATGTGTGGGTGTGGGTTGCTTTTGATTTGTTTATTGCACAGCAGCAACAAATTTATGGCTTGACCTTTGCATAAATACATGAGTCTATCTCGCTGTCTCTCTCTCTCTCTCTCTCTCTCTCTCTCACGCTCTCTGTTACAAAATTCACGGCTTTTAAAATACACAGAAGTGAAGCATAAAAGTGAACGTGTTTGAGTTGAACAACTAGCAAATACCCTGCCTAGTTGCATTGTGGGAGGATGTTTGATAATTATTAAAGGAACGTTCTAGAAAGGAAACTTTTGGCTTCATGTAAGGACTTTAAATTTTAAGTGAGGAAGCAGCAGGTAGCCTGAATTTGACTCTCAGCATATGAATATTCATATATAAATTAAAATTAGCTTCTTTTACATTTATGCATTATTTTTGTAAATTTTTTTTATATCATTTGATATTCCTAAAAAATCATCCTTTAGTATATCAAATTTATTTAAAATTCATTTCTCCATTCGCAGCAATTTAATTTTTGTAAATATTTTTCATGCCCCTTCAGAATGGTCTTAACTCTTATTAGCTTGATGCCCGCCTCTTGGCACTTTGCCCATGGCCTAATAAATGCGCTTAAATTTGTTTCGCAGAAATCCTATTTATGCAGTTTACAGAATTTATTCGCAACGCGCTTGACCCTCGCACTAGGAAGTGCTTATTAAATATTTATTTATGAACGAGAATTTCTCAAAATGTAGTCCAAGCATTGCCTGTCTAATCCACTTCATTCCCCCCAGATGCCAGCCCACTGCGGCTCGGCCCCATCGAAATTAAAATTTACTTTAGCGCACGATTATAATTTTCACTTAATTTAATTGAGCTGTGGATTGCCGACAGAGCTGCAGACTGCAGACTGCTCTAAATGCGCATATTAACTAAATTTCTACTTAATTATGTTAAAATGTTTGCCGAAATTTATATGAAGCACAATAAAATGGATAAAAATGGAAAAAGAAAAGTGAAAATTCCTGCTGCTTCATTGTTTGTCTTTCACTTCAAGCGCTAAGCGCTGCGACTTGTCAAAATTCTTTTCAAATATGCTCAGCTGCATTAAGCCTACAATAACAGCAACGCGAGCAACGTTAACCGTAACAACAATAACAATTATAACAATGTAATGCATATATATATATGTATATATATACATATATAGAGCACACTAAGCACTTCGGAGTGAAAGTTCGAGTAGGGCGCTTAAACGTTTAAATATATATTTTTAATACCTGGAATGCCCTTCAGGGCGGGCTTGCTAGGCTTTATAATTGAGTTGACTGCATTTTAGATTAACAAGAGTTTGATGTGGTGAGTTAGTTGATTTATAGAAATATATAGGGTTTAGGAGAGGCAAAACTATAGGAGGGAGAGAGCTTGCACTTAAAGTAAGATATTAGAGTGTCTAAGACTGAAACAATTGATAAAGTAAATTGATTTATGTATTTGTATTCTATTTAAGCTGCTTTAGTATCGAAAAATATATTTAAATATTTTTTTTTACATATATATAAGCCCAGCTCTCTCCATGTCAAGCTCTACTTCATTTTTGCCAAAAATATTTACCATCATCCATAGGCAAATATGTCTTTTTTCCATGCCAAACTCTGCTTTAATGATACCAAAACATATTTACCATCATCTATTTACGAATATGTTGGTTAGAGTATTTGAGTTTCTTCAATTAGCAGTTAAATATTGTCTCATACAGTTAAGCTATGCTAATGGGCTCCATCGAGTGCTGTCCGCAGCGCTGTCCCTTGTTAGGGCCCATATGTCTGCACAAATACAAATATTATAAGACGCTCTGCTCTGCTCTGCTCTGCTTGGGTTTATTTTTTGAGATGGTGCTAAATGCGGGGCGCTCGAGGCGAGGCGCAGCGGTGGACGATGAAGACGATGAATGACCCAAAAAAAGCACACAAATCCCCAATAATGTAAATGAAAATCCATGAAAATCTATGAAAAGAGCAGCAGCAGCGGAGGCAGCAGCAGCGCTGCAGGCGTAACGTTGCTTAATCAACAATGATTTTTGTTGTTGTTGTTGACTTGATTATAATTGTGATTGTCCGAGCGATAACTTTTGAATGCACAAACCAACTTGTTTCCATTGAGCCGGAGTGTGGAGCGCGTTGAATTGGAAGCTGTCTGCGAGCTGTCAAGAGCAGCGGCTGCCTACCGCCGCCTGCATCGGCAGACAGCCGCTAGCCTTTGGCTTTGACCTTTGCCTACCTGCACAGCAACGAAACGTGTACGCACTGCGCATCGCCCTGCCCTCTCTCGTGTTTTGCCTCCGGGTCAACCGGCCGGTCAACCGCTCATAAAACGCTGATGCGACGCATTTGCCTAAGCCGGCGCGTGGTCTTTCCCAAGTTCTTAATCCTGGCTACGAAATCCTTTTGTTTTTCTACATTCTCGCTACTGGACGCAATTATAAAAGGATTATGCCATTTGTGACCTGACAAACCAAATGCCATACAGTATGCTCTCGCTCTTACTCTCCATCTCCCTCTCTTTTGCTCTGTCCGATGCCATTTGCCCTCTGCTCGCTGCCCACTGACCTCTGCACTGTCGCCTCTGGCCGCTTGCACATTTCATTATGAAGCAAGCCTTAATGAATTACCTGGAAGTTGTTAAGTGCAAGAAGGGCAAGAGGAATTTTTCAACCAATATTCTGTGCAAGTTCTCGAACATTTTGTTGACTGCAGCTATGCTAATGACTCGCCAGAAAATGCAGCACATGGAAATATATGTGTGGTGACATGTTCACAAAAGGAAACAGAGAAAACTTAACCGAATTACAAAGAAGTTGCGCCAGAAAGATGTTGAGAGAAAGAGAGAGACAGAATATACAATGGGAAGATGTGATGTTATGTTTAAGCTGAATACCCGTTGAATGAAGTAAGCTTTATATATGATTTCATTGTTGCTTGATTTATAAGGCATATAAATATATGATCAGTTGACAATACTTTCTAATAATAGTAATAATAATATTATAAAATATTAACAATTAAGCAACACTTCTGAATGAAATCTCTGGATGCAGTAATTCCATCTAAACACTCTCAAAGTGTTTTAAGCCTCTCGAAATTCCTCGGCTCCTCTCCTCACCTCTCACAATTCTTTACTTCCTTCCATATTAACTAAGCCGTCGAGCGTCCTCTTTGGTGCCCTCGCTGACTCGACAGGTTCGTTCATGCTTGGCAGCATGCGCAGCTGCTGTGTTTGCGTATGGATATACATAGCGATGATGTTCATATTATGACTGGTAAGCATAAACGGTTAGCGAGCATCCAAAGTGGATTAGGCCGGATTAAGCCACGAAATATTTTGGCACAAATATTTACAGTTGCCTGACCTGCCAGCCAAACAGCCGGCGCCTGGGCGCTCAGGTGCGCCAGGCACAGGTAGACCCGGCCAGGCCACGACAGGTAGCTTCGATCGCTGGCATATAAGCCATGCTGCGTGTTGCTATGTCAACACTTGGCAAACAACAGGCAACAGAGCAACAACATATCGACATGGAGCTGGAAAAGCAATTGAAACCCACCGTCTCGTATCATCTGTTTCTATATCGCGAGGAGTTGGCCAGACGCCAGCGACGGCTGCTGCGGCTATCCCGCACCAAGATCGAGATCACGGACGAGCTCATCTCGAAGACGGTGCGCAACATCAAGAGCTGCAGCATGGAGGATCTAAAGGCGGTCAATCGGGAGCTGCTCTTCAAACGAAAACTGAGACACAATGTCTCCAAGCTACGCAAACTGGCCAAGCAGCAATAGAGCGAGAGGAAGAGAGAGCGATAGAGTGGCAAATAGATGTAGATAGTGCGTAGGGAAAGAAATATATTGTATATAAACAAATTTTGTAAATAAATCAACTTCGATAAGATTCAGCCTTTAAAACGATTTCGAAAACTTGTCAATTCGATCGTCTATTCACAGCAAGAGAGAGCAAGGGAGAGAGAGAGAAAAGCTTTAAGCCAGACAAATAAATATATAACCTGGTAGCTGAATCAAGAAACGCCGCACAAAGGCAAAAATGTAAACTTCTCAGACTTTAGAGACTTGGCCAAAACGAAATACGAAAAAAAGTCGTTTGCATTGAGCAAAAGTAAATGGCTAAAGCGCTGAGCCAAAATGAATTTTGAAACGCCACAGCCACAGCCAGAAAGCAGAAGACTGAGAGGGAGGCGCTGCCCCGCCGCCAACCAGTTGCAAATATTTAAATATATATATACATGTATATACATATATTTGTGCTTTTTTTGGTGGTCAACAGCTTAATTAGAAATTGCCAATGCAATTAAAAAACGCAACGAAACCAAAATTTAATCAAATTTAAATTTGTTGTATATACTAATATATGCATATATATATTTACATTTTTTATGTATATATATTTTTGTATATATATATTAATTTATATATATTTAACAGTGACTGTTGTAGCAGCAATCGAAACAAGTTCGCTGCATAAATTAAGTTAAAGCCAAAGCCAAAGCCAAAGCGAGTAGCGAGTTGAAGAGAGCGCAAAGATCAGAGTTGATTTAAGCCCACTACAAAACAAAAAAACGAAGTTTACAGAGACTAGACGAATATGTTATGCACTGATAGCTGAAGAAATAGAGTTGAAGCTGTTTAATGCCAAGAAAGAACTATGTATTGTAAAAGTTCTCTCAATGAGGCATTAGAATCAAGGGCCTAATGACTGAATGATAAATGAAAGAAAACAAGCCAAAGTCTTAAGCCTAAAGACCTAAAATCGTGTTTACAGAAACTGTAGAAATCGTACATTCAAATACTCCAATACAGGTCTCTGATATAGTCAACAGATTGCTGATCAAAACTTCTTTTTAATAATCTATAAAGCTATTGACTTCCACAATTTTAATTTAACCTAACATTTTCCTTGAGAAAATTGGTATTCCGCATAGCGGCTTAGAGTATCCCAATAAAAGTTAGCAACTAAAAACAAAGTCACGATATAAATAAAGAGCAGTCAACGCTAACAGCGAGCTGTGCAGAATTTATAACGTGACATTGTTAAATTTATTGTGGCCAAAAAAAAAAAAACAAACCAAAAAATGTTGTAATAAAACTTGAGCTTCCAGCGCAAACGGCATTTGGGCCAAAACGAAGTCTGGCGCCAGCGCTTAAAAAAATAATTGCAAATATCAAGCTTGATACAATAATTGACTTGATTATATATGTGCATGCATATACAAATACATATTTATACAAATACGTATATGACTACATAAATACAGATATTTGAGATGCTTGAGATTCTTGTTGAACTCGCTGCGACCCCGGGGCAAAAGTAAATAAGCAAAAACTTTGGCTGGATCTTTAATTAAGCTTTATGAGTTTATTCAACAGCAACAACAACAACAACAGCAATAGCAGCAGCAACAATAACGATAAGAATTTTATTTGTATTTGATTGATTCCGCAATTGGATAGCTCTCAACGCCTAAATCTGGCCGTAAGCCATGTATTTATGTATCATTAAATGCTTTGTTTTCATTTCATAGCATTATAAAAGTCAGAGCAGCGACGACCCGCCTGCGATATCATATTGAAGGACAGTTGGGCTTAAAGCTGTTCTGCTTGACAAATGGGCTAAAAACAAAAGGCAACAGCAACAAAATCATCAAATCACGACTTGAGCGCCTTTGATTGACATGCAACAAGAACAACCACAAAATCAAAGCAATAACAATCGATAACAAATACAACAGCTATAGCGCTCGAGCAACAACTGATTGTTCATAATTAAAGCTAAAAAGGCCCGAGGCAACAAATTTTCGCAATGATTCTGTGGGCCGACAACGCAACGCGGCAAAATGGCAAATGGCAAAGAGCCAACCGGCCAGCAAATTATCTCCAACCACTAACAGTACATACAGCTACATATATATGTATTTATAAAAATCTATATATATATGTACCAGAATACACTTGCAGAAAAACTTGATTGCAATTGGCCTAGAAATGACTGCATCTTGCTTTGGAATATATAGAAATACATTTTTGTTTTGCATGCCAAACAGGCTAATAAATTTAATGCCTAATAGTACAACGCTAGTAGTTATTAAAATAAGCATTTTATTTGTTTTTTTTTTTTTTTTTATAAAAAATTCTGTTGTGACTTAAGTATAAAAAACAAATTTAAATAAAATAATATTACTATTTTTTACTATGCTTAATAGTTTAGTTATAGCTAAAAAATAATTATCGAAATGATTGCAAGCCTCCGGCTGTTTTTTCGCAGTGCAAGTCAAGAATTTATAAGATTGAAATAATTGCCTTAAGATTAAAATTTCTTTTTCAATATAATCTAAATAGTTAATGAAGCTATTCTCAATAAGACTCTGATATTAAATATTTATAAATTTTTTTTAAAGCCTATATAAATTCTATATGCGAATTTATATTGTATTTTTCGCTAAGGGTGTAGAATATTTTTATCATGAAAAAAATTTTTTAATTATTTTTGGAAATTAGATTTAACAATAAAAAATTCAGAATTTACGTATAAGACACTGGCTCTTAAATTCTAATTATCTGCGCACTCCAGTTAGTCATACCCTATTCCCTAAGTGTATGCTACCATACATAGTCAACAAATACGTGCAACAGTTACACAGGCAACCCGCATGTCACGCCCCGTAAAGCAGCAGCAGCAGCAGCGGTAGCAACAGCAACAGCAGTTGCCATCGAGGCAGAGCAACGGCTGCTTATTAACGCATAATTAGCATATTTAGTCTGGCTCAAAGATTGCGATCCCGAGCTGTCGCCCAGGTCTACAGACCTCCAACTGCCCCACACTCTGCCTGTCTGTAACGAACCTGTGCCGCCTCGTTGACATTGCCTGCAATTTGTCGATTTGTCACACAATTTCAGTTGATATGAATTCCGTTGCTCCGTCCTCTGGCCCCTTATTACTTACTCCCTCTCTCCACCTCTCCAGTTCTACCTTTGTCTACGTCTTCTGCTCGACTGCCATCTGCGAGCGAGCAACAACGTCCGTTCGTGGTCATTGCAAGTTAAGCCTCATTTAGCTACAGCACTCTATTACTTGAACCAATTGCCAAAACCAAACGAGCGTAATGATGGACGGGGAAATACTCTGTAAGTGTCTATAAGTGGTTTAGGTGTTTGCTTTGAATGTGTAAAGGGATTAGATTCAATAATAGTTTTGCCTTTTCTGTCATTTAAGAACATTTTGGGGTTTGTTTTATATAGAGCTAAAGTCTAGATGAGGAAAGTATGTCTTAATGATTATTATATTAAGATATATATCAAATGATGACATAGCCTCTTCTTTATGTGTGTATCGATATTAATTTTTGGCTGCAAAATCTATCGCTAAATATACTTTCCTTTTTTGTTCGTTACATGAAATTTACATACGCTGTGCATACCCGCTTGTTACACTTGTAATGAGTATTTGGTATATAACAAGCGACCAAGCGACCTGACGCCCACCTTTCAGTTGTTGTTGCTGTGGTGTCTGTTACTGTTGTATTGCTTGTGCCATTCACTTTATGAACATTTCAGTTGAAAACGACAGCAGCAACAACAACAACAACAACAACCACAACAGCAACAGAAACACCAGCAACAACAGCAACAGCAGCAACAATTGTCGCTTTGACATTTAACTACAATTACTTTTTAGTGGTCTTTCATTGGTTCGCGTGGCAGCGACATTTTGGTCTGTCTGTAGCCCCCCTCATTCATGCCACGCCCACTCCTACCTGGCTGTTACAGACCATATTGAAACTTGTTATAATTAAAATATGCACTACGTGATTTTCCTCAAGGTGTTTGCTGGCCATCGAATGGCCAATAAATCAAGTCGAATGCCAAACAGAATCTGAGTCCAGCATTTCACCATTTCACCTGGCCAAAGCCATGAATATGTGCGTACTCCAAGTTACAATTTGGCCACATAATTGCACTCTGAGTCCTGGCAGGGAGAGAGAGCGAGAGAGGGGGAGAGGTCAGGTAGAGGCTGCCCTACCATGTGGCATTTTAGTTGTGGTTTCCACCTGAACTTCGTGCAGCTCTGTGCGGTTGGCGAACTGCAACGAAAAGAGTGCCCAGCCATAGGCTAAACGACAAAAGGCTTTAAGGTGTGGCAAACCACTTTAAATACACTGCAAGGAGGGTGCCATGACTAGCTGATGTAGGGGACTGAAGAAGTGATATGTGGTGGAATATGTGAGAAGTAAAGAATGGAAATTATATTTGAATATAAGAACTCGAAAAAAAGAAGAATTAAAGAGGGAATACGTAGTAATTATCAGATAATACTTCTGCCTGTGAATTAGACTCTGATAGAACGGAAAGCTAGATATACAAATGCATGTGGGATTACGATTATTATCAACGCAGAACAAAAGTTCTTTTCATATACCCACTTTACGCCGCTAATTCTCATATACCCTGCACACTATTACATATCTATCTATAGCATATATTCTCCTCTAGTATACCACTTCTATTTCCTAGAGTATTCCGCTTTCAACAATCTTTGGCTCCCATTTCCTTATCTTGTTTTGCTGCCCACATTTTGGGAGGCTGTTGTGGGCGTGGGTTTTTGTCGCTCGCTCGCCACAAATGCCGATTGCGCCGTCTCTTGAGCTTTGAATGTGGTGCTGGCTAACTGGCTTACTTCACTGATGTTGCACTGGTTGTTGCTCTGCTGTTGCATTGTTGTTGCTGTTGGCTGGTGTGTGTGTGTGTGCAGCGACTGTTCATAGCTTTGGCATTTACAATATTTAATCATATTTGCACGAGGGC